ATTGGCTATTTGTAATAAAAAAGAAGTATATGAGCAAATTACTCCGACCTTAAGAATCAGTAGCACCATAAACTCTTAACTCTTTTATTATGAAAAATTATAAATTATTTCTTGACTTTTAAAAACAATATAATATGGCTCTCACTAATAATAAGAGTTAATTTTAACCATTAGTTGATCAGAAAATAATAAAAAATGATATCAACAATTATAGAAAAAGATAAATTGTACCATTTTGAAAAGTTAAGGATTATATAATAAATAAGTTTAGGGTTTATGATGCTACTTAACTTAAAATTTATGAGGTAATTTGCTTATTTACTGATATAAAAACAATAAAAATTAAATCACAATATAATTAAGCATGATACCCAATTAATTTGCTAAGTATAAAATACTTAGAAGACGACCCCCCCTTCTCTCTCTATATATACAATTATACATACTTGTGTGTATGTAATTTTCAATTCATGAATTTGATTAAGATGTCTCCGTGTTGAATAATTGACTGCCAACCCGCCGTTGCTTAAAGTTTATAAGCTAAGAAAATTCAAACGCAGCATTATATTAATTATATTGAGTGTTACTATTAATTGTAATTGTAGGTATCAAGAATCTAAAATAAATTAATTATGATATTTTATCAGGACCAAATCAGCTACAAATATTCAAGAGTCACATCTCGCATCAATGATAAGAATATAATAACTAATTAATTTCAGAGAAAGAAAAAGGGAAGCGTGGTTTGGATTGGAAGAGCATTTTTGGCTCGACAATCACTTTAAAAGTCATGAAATTATTTAATCGATATAATATAATTTGTAATTAGACTTTAGTCATTAACGACCTCACACAATAAATATATGACTGTCATTTTCCATGATTTGTGAATTTGTGATTTGTGACTATACATTTTTTGTTTTTATTTAGAATAATGCTGATCCCGCACTCTTGAAAACTTTCTCCCAACTAAAAAAATCTTTCTTCAATAGAAAGTGTACCTTTTATGACGACTTTATAGTTATTTTCTCAGATTTGAAGTGTGATCATCTGATTTTATTTTAATATTTTACAATTTAGAAATTGAATGTCAAAGAATATCAAGATTTAATTGGCCATGACACATTTTAATAGCATTTTGGGGCATGCCAGCAAATATTTAAGCGAGAGGATCACTACAAAACACTAGATTATGAGCCTATGTTTTTTTTTTTAGTGAAAAAATTTAAGTGGCTTAAGCCCCAAAGATTCACTAGGATCAGGACAAGCCTCTAAGTTCAAAGGACATTTTTAAAGATATTTATAAATCATCCATCAATAAAATTCTCACATTACAAACTTGTAAATCAACAAGAACAATCTTTATTTGTTATGAGCTAGTGTCTTTACACATATGAACTTTGAGATTAACCATATTAATTATTTATGACTTATGTATTGAGCCACATATTTTATATTATATTAGATTAAAGGATTTAAATCATTTGAAATTGGGATTGGTGAATTTAGTTGAAATTTTCCAGTTTTAGTATTTTTGCTCATTTTATTATTTTTTTATAAAATATAAATTTTTTCTCTTTTTTAAAAAGAAAAACTTCATAAAAATTCATCAATAATGACTTCAGAAAATTTAATTTAAATCCTAGATTAAACTAGATACTAAACTAGACTAGCAGACGAAATTACAATTTGCAAGCTGTCATTTATTCAACTAGCCTATATGTACAACCAAAACATCTATGTGAAAAGAGACTGATGGCATTATTCTATCTACTAAAGATTCTCAGTCCAAGTTTCATTTAAAAATATGTTAGCTTCTTTTTTTCAAAAAAAAAAATCCTTAAAAATATAGCTAGGTAAAATGCTTCTAATATCATGAATTTTCTCAATAGAATACCTACAATACATTAAAACGAAGTGTTTTAGTGAATCAAATAATATGATAGTAGATCAACGTACTTCTTTTCATTTGATCTAATCACCGTTGATACAAATATATATATATATATATATATACACACATATATATTCACAACCGGTTTAATAAAGATGGATTAATGGATTAACTGAGTAGAATAAATAGTATTTTTTTTAAAAAAATAAAGGCAGAGAGATAGACGATGGGGAGCATTTTCAAAAGCTAAATGATTGAGAATGACAGCCAAATTAAATCACTGTTTGTTTCCCTTTTTCTATTTCCCATTGCATATGGGCAACAATAGTACTTCATCGAAATTTGAACACGTCCAAACACTAACTAATGCGTTTATATGTACGTTGTTAAATAATTCTTACCTCATTCTAACTACAACAAGATATCATATTAGTGTATAGCATATTATATCAAGTCGTGATAATACATTTGTTTACAAACAAATTATCTATTGAAGCAGACAAATTGATGCAGACTATGGATAACAATATTAAATTTGTTAGCAGGAGCAAAGTAAAATTCCATGTTTGATTTCAACTACTGAACTAACTCCCTAATCCACAATCCCATCAAAAGTTAAAATATTTTGAACTCTAAAATTTAAAGTCAGCTTCAGCGTATAATCAATATACTCCCTCCAGTTTTTAACATATAAAAAATTGTGTCCTTAATATATGATAAAGTTATCATAATTTATTATTTTTCAATTTTTCCCATATTTATTTATCATATGTAGTTTGAATTCCCAGACAACAATTTAATATAGTTATTAGTTGCAAAAAAAAAAAAGAACATAATTGGAAAATTGAATATTAATAAGTGTGAAATTGGTTAATTTTATCTTATATTAAGGATAAGAGATAGTATATTAATATATAAATAATAAATGAAATCTATATATTTGTGTGTGTGCGCGCGCGCGTTATTGCATGCAATCAATGATTTAAACTATCCTTATAATCATTATGTGAAACGAAGACAAGGACGACAAAGTTTGTGCTTATTTATAATATTCACGCACTGGCATCCTTGGTTCAGTGGAGAATTTTAAAGAATATGTAAACTAATTTCTTAAAAATTAAAATCAAAGAAACATGCAAAATTGTCAGAAATTTCAGCTTTTTAAATAACAAGTATAGGCTCAATGATAATAAATTTGACCAATACGTAAAGCAAACAATATATATAATGCAGAGAATATATAGGAAGTAAAAAAGATCTGAAAGGAAAGCTTTTAGCCGTGCCTGTAATAAGAGCCTTAATCAATTGAACAATCATGTCGCAGTAAAATTTTAAAAGGCAGGGAAGGGGGCTGCCAAATCATGATATGTTAAATAATGGACAAAATTCTGTTATAATATTTTTAACTATTTTATAATCCAATTTTGATAAATTAAATAATACAGTCAAATATTTTTTATAGATTAATATAATATATTTGATTATTTTTATACTCTTTAGATTTATAAAAATTAATTTATAATAAATATCTAATGTATATATTTAGTTTTTAATGTTAAATTTTCGAGCTTCCCATCTTTACTTAATTAGATGTCGATCCTCAGGGTTATTAGTTGTTAGTAATTTCCAAAACATCTTTAAATTATACAGATGGATGGCTCTAATTGAGAAGACAATCGAGTGAAATAAAGCCAAATAAAGTTTTACAAAGCATAATCATTTCAAGGAGACCAATTCATGAAAATTAAGATAACATATACAATTTTCTTAATATCACAGAGTATAGTTTACTGAATAAGCCATATATAATACGCAGGTCAATTTTTCTAACTCCATTAGCTAATTTTTGGAGGAAACTTTTTATTTCTTTTTTTTGGGGTCAATTTTTATCTCATTTAGGAATCCATTATTAATCGATATTTCGGAAAGACATTACTATTAAAAAAGAAAATCCATACATATCTGTCCGTACGTGTATCTTCATATACAAATGAAAATGCTCACTTTCTAGTTTTTACACTGCTAATGCTTTCTTGCTCCCTCATTTAATTTCTCTGCTCAAGTTACCAGAGAAATTGGAAGGTTAAGGACAAAAGCTTTTTAATGGACGAGACAAGAAAAATGCCGGTAAAAAGATTAGAAGTGAGAAGGAGGACGAAGAGTAAAGAATTAAGCAACAAATTTTTATATTGATATCCACACCTTCAAATATTTAGTAATTAAGCGCACTTTCTATTTTTCAACAATAAAAAGATTCATTTTTTTTTCAAGTACCATCCTTTAACAATTTTAACCAAGACATGACATAATGAGAATTCTTGTAGTGTAAAATAAAATTAATATTCTTCAATCCACGTCCTACCTACTGTACAAAATATAAAGATGTGTGGGTGAAATTAGTAAAATGTTCTTAACTTAATGCCTTCTTTTTTCTTTCCTTGTAAGATCAGATTTTTTGGAATGCAAATACTGAACATATAAAAAAAATATCTTGACAGAAACTTTTTACTCACTTATATTAGAATATCTGAAAGAAAAGTTGCAAAGCAATTTATTTTAAAGGAGTTTCCTATCAAAAACAACACCTTCTCTTGCATACATGACATAATCAATGACATGAATCTTCAATCAAGACTTGATTGCTTATAATTTCAAGAATATGATAGATCAAAAATAGTACCCACCAAATCCTTAATGAGTTAGACTAGATATAGATGACTCAATTGGCAACAACGGTGCTACTGTTTTTAAATGGCTCGTTCACGATGATTAAAAAAATTGGATTCGACCTGTTCTAACATGATCCGAATGAAGACGGGCCTGCTGGAACCAGGTTCTTTATATACAACCCTGCCAAGGACATCTATAGGGGTTATTCAAGCAAAATGTTACGGGAAAAAATTTAACTTTTCTGAAAAGCAAAGTATATTCTATAAACAATATATAATATGTAATATATTAGTATTAAAGTGAGAAAAGTTTTTCCTGGTAATGAGAAAGGGAACGAAGGAAAAGACAGAAAGTTCACGTCAGAGTTAGCTGTAGTAGGAGTACCCCTTGGGCTGTGGTTTTGTGCAGAGGGAATCCCACCCATTCTCTCTCTCTCTCTGAGTTTAACTTTAGACAACTGGGTCTGTACTTTTGTTTCTATTATTTAGCAGTGTGGATTTTCTTCTTATTACATCCACCATGGTTCAGTTCAGACTTCAGAACCATGAAGGAGAAGAAAAGCGACTAGCTTAATTAGCTAGCTAGCTAGCTATATATCCATCAGCTGGGTTCACTTCTGATTTACTTCTCTTTATACATATATGTATCAGTCTGTCTTGTTTCTTCTGCTCTTTCACACAAAACAACAGAAGTTTCATTGTCTGTTTATTGGTTGGTGCCAAGGCGGAAACTATCTGGATAATTGTTTTTTTCTTTTTGCCTGCGGATTTCAAAGGGTATTATTCCTCCCCTTTCCTCTTTCTTTGATTCCAAAACCTTTTTTAATATATGCGAAGAACAAGATCTACTATGGACCATAATACTGCAGCAAAAATCTTAGGTTTCGGAGAATTTCCATGTTTGAGAAAAAGATAGATGTCGTGTTCGATCCATGTTCCACCTCCATCAACAGAATCATCATCATCAGGCAGTGCATCAGGAGAACATGTCTAATTTGACTGCCTCTGTATCTGCTGAACCAAGTGTTTCAAATATTGGTACTACTTACAATTATCCTCCTCCACCATCAACTTCGTCTCAATCTCAGCCACTGAAGAAAAAGAGAAACCTCCCTGGCAACCCAGGTTGTTCCATTTTTTTAATTCCTCTCCAAAAATAATCCTTAAAGCCACACTTGTTTCTCCAAACGTTGTTGTCGTTGCCTAGACTACAGTACACATCTACTGACTTTGTCTTCTATTCTCGTTCAGACCCAGAAGCTGAAGTGATCGCCTTGTCTCCAAAGACTCTGCTAGCTACGAACAGGTTCATATGCGAGATCTGCAACAAGGGGTTTCAGAGGGACCAGAATCTGCAGCTTCATAGAAGAGGGCACAATCTGCCATGGAAGCTGAAGCAGAGGACGACTAGCAAAGAGATGATGAGGAAGAAGGTGTACGTGTGTCCAGAACCAAGCTGCGTCCACCATGATCCTTCGAGAGCACTCGGAGACCTCACAGGGATCAAGAAACACTTTTGCAGAAAGCACGGAGAGAAGAAATGGAAATGCGAGAAGTGCTCAAAGAGATACGCGGTTCAATCCGATTGGAAGGCTCACTCCAAAACCTGTGGCACGAGAGAGTACAGATGTGACTGTGGAACTCTCTTCTCTAGGTAACTCATTTTCACATATTCATATCTATATCTTTTTTAACAATCTTCTTTTCCACATTTGTTGAAGGTTAGATATACTCACCAAAGCAATTTTTTAACCGCCTGACATGAATATTTGGTCGATTTAAATTGTATGAACGACATGAGTGTTACTGGTCCAGTTTAGGATACACACACACACACTCAGAGCAGTCAGACTCAGACATATCGTTCAAGTATGGTGGACATGTAAGGTTAACGGTTTTGCCATCAGAATAAATAATACAAAATTCAGATTTGTCAATCCCGTGACAGTTTGGGCAAGTGATGATAGTTCATGATTTACATATAGCATACTCCTATATATAAATTATTTCATGTTTATAGAGAGAGTGGTTGGGGGATCTCAGTATTAGAATAATATGAGTTTTTTAATTTCTTCAAATAATCTCACCCAATCAAGTGTTTTTTACAAACGTAAATGGAGATGTAGATCATTTGATGAGTAGAATAAAGGAGAAAACTTCAGGAGATAACTCAAATAATTTGAGGATAAGCTGGAGTCTGGACGCATTACAAGGGATAACACCCAAAAAAAAAAAAGAATACAAAAAGAGAGAACGGTGGAGAGCAGATGAAAAGACTAAAAGAGATCAAGGTCAATGGTTGTGTAGTGTCAATGTGTCACATACATGGAACAATGAGTGACATCTTGTTATTTAATATTATTTTGTAATATTATATTTTTCAGGAGGGACAGTTTCATAACTCACAGAGCATTCTGTGATGCATTAGCAGAAGAGAGTGCGCGATCTGAAGCAAACCCACGAGTTCCTCTTCCCTCATCACAGCAACACTTCAAAAACCAGATCAGTCTCACTCCTCCTCCTCCTCTCAGGCATGGAATGATTCAGGTCCCCTCTTGGCTTGGTGGCCCACCCACCACCTGTGCGATAGATCAGCACCGTCAACTTCATCATCTAGGCCATGAAAGTCCAAACCCTAACCCTACTAGCCTCGGCCCCACTACCACCACCTCTAGTCTTCTTCCTTCTTACCAACTTCCAGCGCCTTCCTCGCACATGTCAGCCACAGCCTTGCTTCAGAAAGCGGCTCAGATGGGTTCGACCATCAGCAAAACCGGCTCGCCCGTGCTCATCAGGACCCACCACCACAACATTACTAATCACATGTCTGCTACTTCCAGCACTGATCACCACCCTGCTGGTTTAAACTTGTCGTCCTCATCCTCCTCACCTGAAGGTCACGTGACCACCACAACACCGGCCATGGCTTCTTGCCTTCATCTCCTTTTTCTTTCTCTACTTCTGCTCAGTTTGGAGGTGCAAGTTCTTTCGAGGAGGGTTTGATTAATGGTGGGATTTTGAATCCCATGAAAGATGCGAAGAACTTGCATGGCAATGCTCTTTTCAGATCAACCGGTGGCGTGACGGAGGCAGCTGCCGCCGCTGGTGGTAGTGCTGGTGGGAACGAGGGTTTGACGAGGGACTTCTTGGGTCTTAAACCTCTTTCCCATGATGATATTCTCAACTTTGCTGGGATTGGAAACTGCATGATGAGCTCATCTTCGGCTTCCCATGATCAACGAATTCATCAATTCCAATGGCATTCCTAATTATCATTAGCATATGATTATAAATATGTTTATCAATATCTTCCTTTCTCTTTTCATGTCAATTAGAATTTCGCCTTTTTTATAATCCCCAAAAGGGAAGGATTATATTACATATTGTAATTCCCTTTGCAGTCATTTTTTATCAACCCTTAGTTATGTAGTTATTTGACGAAAAATTTTAATTGACTCTTCAATACAAAACCTGTGGAGAAGTTTTGATATATTTTCATTTATTCTTTTATTATCCTTTATGGGATAGATATTATTTGGTCGAGTTTGAAGGCGGTTTTTTTTTTTTTTTTGCCTTTTTATTACCCGCGCCAAAATGCGCTTAATCTGAAGGATAAGTAGAAGAAAGACCCGAATTAATAAGTGACTTTCTAGAAGTTTTTCACATCTCTATTATTGTGAGTTATATATTTTGCAATACCTATGAAAAAGTTTGTGTATAAAATTATTTTCGGGCCTTTGATATAGATGCTACTGTATGTTGAGTAATTTATTATAACAGAAAAGGATTGAGAAAGATTGTAAGTAAGACTGAGACATAATTTATCGCATTTAATTAAAGTTGTTTTAGAAAGGTAAGATAATTTTAAGACATTTGACTAATGACTTTTTTCCATCCATATTTTTTTCTAATTAAAAGGGCATGCACTAATGGTCTAAGTACTTTCCCCATCCATATAAATGGGCTAAAAATAACTTATAAATAAAAATGAAGAGGTGTGCTTGTGTGTGTGTGTAATTTGTAAATTTAATAACTTATTTCGGCTTAAAAAAAAGGGGACCCAGCTGGCAAGCCTAGCTAAAATCATATTGTCACTGCTTTAACTCCAAGATTAGAAAACCTTGCATATATAATTGTTCCTTATATTTATAAATATAATGTAGAAGTAATTAGCTATCTTATTAGCATACATAGCATTTGCTGTTTTTTCACATACACCTTGGTTTTTTTTATTGTTTGTTTCTTTTCAAACCAACATCATCAACTATAATATCCTAATTAACCAATGATATCCACTTGCAGATTCTAGTCCATCCATTACAATACCATTGTTTAATTTAGTTTCCATTTGATTACTAAAAAGGACTGAAATGGAATGGATTAACAAAAATAAAGATAAACATAAGATAGTTAAAAGGGATAAGTGAATGCCATTCATAAATGAGAGGGGTAATTAATTTATGGAGTCAAAAATTATAATTCATAAAATTTTTAGACTGTGTAATAATATCCACATTTGTATTATCTATATTAATAAGTTTTATTATGGTTATCATAAAGAGAAATGGTGTATTATATATATTAATGAGTTTTATTTTTTAATCTATTATATTTCATTCCTTTCTAATAACTAAGCGAGACCTTAATTTCTACTAAAAAAATCCAACAAACATAATATTTATATTAGTTGCGATCAATCCGTGCGTGTCGAATATTGATGCTTAATTATAACGACATTCCGGTTCTAAATATAGAGTCCTCTCAATATATTTAATATATTTGTAGACTAAAATAAAGTAGGTAAGCTATATATTTGTACTTAACATGTAAAGAATTTGCGACATTTTTTCAAAATTTACTTGTCATTTAATGATTTAATTTAATAAAAAATAAAAATAGCCCCAATAAATTATAGGGGTATCATGGGAAAGGAAACAATAATATATAGGAGATAGGAGAATAGGATACCTTATATTTAAGACCAAACTAAAATCTTCAAATAAATTATACTCCTTGTGTTCAATGTTATATATAAGGGTACACCTCCTAACTAATAAATTAATTAATTATCTTTAAAATTACATACTTTTTTATATTTATTTTTATTTATTTAATGGTGTCTCAATTAAAAAATATTATTAATTATACCTTAAAAAATTTAAAATTTTTTATATTTTTGAACATCTTATATTTTTTTAACAAAAGAAGTATATATTTAATTTGGGATGAAGTATCAATATTGAAATTAGACCTTTTTAGATTAGACTCTCCTATTGGCATTAAAATATTCAACTCAATCAATTATTCGATCAAGTTGAGTTGAGAGGAGACTACCAAAAAAACAAAACTCACTCATATCTTAATTTTTTTTTTCTTATTCATCTGAAAAAACACGCATTTTGGAGACAATAATATCCAAGTTGTGATTCCAAAGAAATACGACTAGTTCATATAAGCCCATCAAATTAGTTTTAATTAATGAACCATAAACTACAACCAATTAGCTGTCGTTTACTATAACCAATTGGCTGCAGTTTTTTGGCAAAACCACAGAAAATTAAAAAGTACCCACAGAAGGTTTATTTGCATATTTTTCAAAATCCCATAAAATATCACTAGCAATGGCCAAAATCAGGATCAGACTAAGTGTGTGTTTGATTTTTAGTTTGTCAAAAATTTATTTGATGAAAATCTATTTCATAAAAATAAGTTTAGTGAAAGTCAGTTGTTATAACAAAATTTGTAATTGGATACATTTTTTCAAAAGTCAGTTTAGTACACTGAAAGTTGTTTGATTTGTAATAGTAAAATGTGCTTTTGAATATATAATTATTAAAAAAGATATTATTTTATAATGATTTGTAATTTTTATTATACAAATGTAATATATTTGAAATATTTAAAAAATATGATAAAGATTTTAAATAATATAAAATTTGATCTATAATGCTAAAAATTTGATCTCTAGTTATTTGTACTCTTTTAATTTGTAATTTTAAAAAAATATAATATTATACATTAATGCTAAAAGTTAACATGATTAATTATTCAATTTATAATGCTAAAAACTTGATACTTAATTATTATTATTGAAATGATAATTATATTTTTAATGAATTAACTATTTTAAATACAAGAATAAAAGATTAAATTAGGATAATATGATCAAATAACATCATACTTTTTAAATTTATTTTTTAAAAGCTTTAAATAGTTACGTTTCAAAAATTTACTTTTAACCATTGTTTGAATGTATTTTCATGATATGCTTTCCTATAAAATATTTTACTCAAACAACTTCCAACATCTTAAAAATAAAATTTTTTTTAAATATAAAATATAAGAAAATCAAACGGGCCTTAAAATAACCATAGCTCAAAATGTTTCCCCTCCTTTTCCCTCCCTTAGTGATTCAAGAGAGTTTCGAACTTAAAATTTTGCTTAAATAAAATCACATTCCAGTCAACATGGTAATATGATTTTTTTCCAAATGAAATTAATATCATTCTGACATGGAGATATATTAATCTATCTATTTTCTTCATCTCTCTTTTTCCCTTTGATGAGATAATTAAAGTAATTTATACATGCGAATGGATATTGTTGTGGTTTTAAACTAGAGGAGGGGAAATATTTGATATATACTAGAAGTGGGTGCAAGTGGAGGGAATCAATCCCGAGAAAATGATGGTGATGAATATAATATACAGTGTCCTTTTGATTTTGGATTTCACAAAAACAGATCAAGCAGAAATCTACTTTTCATTAGATTCCCTTATTTTCCTCTTTCTTTTGTGCCCTTTTGTGTGTGTGTGTTTGGCTGTCCAATGGGGATTTGTCATTTGTCATCTTGTTCTTGGAAAAAGTTTTGATCCAAGCATTATCTTATTGAACACTGTACTCCAACACACAGACACACAATCACCTTCTTGAGACTTGTCTGAGAGCTTGTTCTAAGCTCAACCTAGCTAATTAACTACAATTCAGTACGTTTAGACTTAATTTAATTTGGATAAGCACTTCAAAAATAAGTGAATTAAAATGGTTTAGCCTTATTTTGTGTTTTGATATTATTACTTGAGGTTGAGAAGAGAACCAGCACAACAACAATATGGGTCTCAATCCTTTTGCTGTAAAGTGTTCGTAGCCTTTTTTCTTTTCTTTTCTGTCTTTTCAGATAAACATTTTTAACCAAAACAGAATATCTATGATGTAGTTAGGTAGGGTTTTCTGTATAATATTCTGTTGCTTTGTTGTTGAATTGTGATTAATAGTAATTCGCGATCGAATTTGGACCTCCTATTTTGTTATCTGTCCGATGAGTGACAACTCTTGCTATATGTACGTATAAAACAACATAAGTTAATTACATTCACGTTTTTAGATTTAATGAACTGTTAACATATTATTCGAACTTTAATTTCTCTTTAATTTCAAATTTACACATTTCTCTTCTATTAAAGATAAAATTAATTAAATGGATATGATCTTCTTGTGATCTTATGTAAAGACGAAATAGTTTACTACGCAATATTATGATCTACGCCACGAGGAGATTTAATTTCTTGTACATGACTAATTTGATTAGAGGAAAATCATGGGCATATATTACTCAATCTATCTTATATATTTTTATAAGTTACTTCTAACATATTTTATTAAAATTAAAAAAATATTAAAATTCATTAATTTTATTTAAAATATTAATGAGTTTTGAATTTCACCTCTATTAAATATATATACTTTAATAATATATTTTTTTATCGATATTTAATAAGAATAAAATATACAGCTATATAAAATTTTAGAATGAAAAAAATTATTTTTTATCTTATAAATAAGATTCAATTTTTTTTTAATTGGTTTACAAAGAGTGAAAAAGTAAGAGAAATAATGGAGTTTTGATTATTCTTAGAGGTATATAGTATATACGTGGTGATGGGTTAGCATGTAAAAAAGGAGCTTTGAGAGAGAAGATCTGAAAAAGCGAGAAATGCGAGGAAGGTACATATCCCTATGGAAGTATTGTCTGAGAGATGAGGTATGTTAGGTCAATGTATATGTACAATGTAAGTTATATATATAATATATGCTTATAATAAAAAGAATACTTGAAAGTGCTGTTTTGCCCACCTCTTTTTTCATTGGTTTCTCAAAGCTTAAACATCTCTCTGCAGTCTGCACCCAAAGATTCCTCTGCATCCCAATGCTATCTACCTATACTCTACTCCGTGCTTTGTGTGGGTGTCTATATATACATATACATATACATATATATATATATATATATGTTCATCTCTGAAATCAGCAAATCATCGGTCCGTGTCGGATTATAAAATTGTCTTAGTTCTCAGATTGATACATTCACTATAATGAAGATTATCAGATATGATGATCAGAGGTTTAAAATTACTGGTGCACTACTTTTGCAGTAAGGTGATGTTTTTTTTTTAATGGTTCGTCTCCACTCTCTCCACTTTCCAAATGCAATA